ACATAACTGTCTACTCCCCTAATAATTGAATCCCCCACTACCACAACCTCCCTCTTTCTGGGGGGAGGGGGCTCCTCAGTGCCCAAGGGCCCACCTGCCTCCCCAGTCCCTTCCAGCTCTAAAGCTGGAAACACCTGAAACCTGTTAGACACAGACACCTCAGGTGATGCCGCCTCTGTATCTGTAATTCAATTTGGAGAGGCAGAGGAATTTTTTATTGATATTATAATACGGGAGATTTACGGGAAAATATTAATATGGGAGGACGGCGGGAAAGAGGGGTAAAATATGGTAGTTTCCTGGCCAAAACGGGAGACTTGACAGCTATGGCCTCAGCTGGGGAGCAAAGTGCCACCGTTCACTACGGGTGCTTTTCCACAGAGCTGCCCGCCGTTCCCCTAAAGTGCACACCAAGCTGTTACTTAACTGCGGGGTGATGTTGATTCACAGCAGTCCTAAGTCTAAATCGCCACAGACACGTCACCTAATCACCAGGACAGTACCTGGACCTGCTTGGAAAAGAGAACTGTGGCTATCTGGACAAAACAGATGTGTTTCCCTGAAAATGTGATCAACAACTGCACCCCCCCACACCCCCACTGTTCAGTACTTAAGTACATTGAGCTGCAATCCACATGCAGACACCACAAAAACAGTCATAAGCTAGTAGTTTATCAGAAACTGATGCACTTTGACTTAGGATTCAACAGGTCAACGGCTGGGGCCTCATATATATATATAGGGTAAGCTACTGATCGCTCTCGGCTGCTATCATTTCCATTACGTTTCCGGGGAAGGAAAAAGGGAAAAGTAAGTAGACCTGTTATTCTTCCACTTAGACAAAGATATAATGGAGATTAATGGCACTGAATATGTCCCAAGGAGATTTACAGCCCCTCTTATTTTCAGCTACTGTCAATTTATTATCAATGTAATACCATATCAGGCATGATACACTCTGCCGATCAGTCACTGTTTACCTGACTATGTAATATCGACATGGTACACTCTGCCGATCAGTCACAGTCTGCCTGACAATTTAATATCGATGTGGTACACTCATGCCGATCAGTCACTGTCTGCCTGACAATTTAATATCGATGTGGTACACTCTGCCGATCAGTCACAGTCTGCCTGACAATGTAATATTGACATGGTATAATCTGCCGATCAGTCACGGTCTGCCTGACAATGTAATATCAACATGGTACACTCTGCCAATCAGTCACTGTCTACCTGACAATTTTCTTTATATTGTGGTACTAATAATGGCAATAAAAGGTTGAATTAGCTATATATTTTCAAATTTGAATTTATCACCTCAAATTTATATTCCTTTCTAATAATTAAATGTTATGAATACTAGCTGAGTATAAAACAACCATTGGCATCTTTTAGTATCAATACTGGACAGGCATGAAGCTATAAAGACTAAAATGGGACTGAGTATGTATGTGAAAATCAGGTTCTGGGACAAAAGTTGACGTACAGTAGGCAGGTGGTGGAAGTGCAGTAAGGTCTGCCACCTAGTGGGCAGGCAAAGGAAGTGTCACGTCTTTACCCATGATGCTGTAAGCCACCTGTCGCTGTCTCCCCAGGTGAGAGTCTTCACCATGAACAAGCTACTAGCTATTGCTGTGCTTGTTGCTGTGATCTCCTACGGTAACTACAATATCTGCACTGGCCTTTGTTTTTTAAATGATTTTAAATGACCTAATAATAAAAAGCAGCACAATTTTCTATTAGCTAATTACTTAGCAGCAATTTGTACCACAGACACATCATACACCTAAGATTCCCAGTATTTTATCATGAGAGAGAATGCATTGTAATTAAGAAGGGTATTACCATTAAACAAAGTTTGGCGTGGGCTTCAGCTGCATGACGCTTTGGAAACAAGCCAGTTTCCGGTTGGTGTTTGTATTTTTCTGGAAGATTACAGGTTAGGAAGAAAGCAAGCATGACAGGCAGAGAGAGAGAGAGACAAACAGAGAGAGACAGAGAGAGAGAGAGGGATCTTCAAGAAAGGCAACAAAGTACTATAAATAAAATAAATTCCACTGAAATGTTGACAGGTAGCACAGCGTCATATTATTCCAGAAGCTGCTCTGATTACTCCGCCTTCACTGGCTGACACCCACTGATTTCAGATGCTGAGTGCTTACGTATCATAAGAGAAGTTCCGGAGGAGACTGGGACAGCAGTTACTGACACACTCTGGTCCTACTGGGACAACACAGTCCAGACTGCTAATGGTTGGATGGAACAAGTCAAGGGCTGGAAGCTGGACGAAAAGGCCAAGTAAGACTCAGCCAAGCATATAATCCATATTATAGAGCAGCCTGTCCTGAGCTGGTCCTCGGTGACCATAAGACAGTCCATGTTTTTTGCTCCCACCCTGCTCACATCCCTGAGAAGCAGGCCAAGAAACACTGTTATACACTGTTAAAACTAGATATACTGTAAAAGACCCACAGACTAGAAAACTAAAGTTTATATACCATAGACCTGGACCAATTCATATTTTGGACAGGTAGCCATTTATGATAGCTAAGGTTAAGGTTAAGGTTAAGGTTAGTTTGTCAGTTAATTTAGTTTTTGCACCATGCAAGCAGCTAGGGCTATACTCATGGTGAAAGATAGGTGATATATAAAGGTTACTAATTACTGAATACCCATACATAAAAAGTTACAAATGCCAAAAAATGTGAATGAATGGATGAGTAGCAGAGCCAAGAAAGATCAATGAGTCACAGACAGAAATATGTAGCACATTTTTTTAAAAATCGGTAAATGTGTGTGTGCTTTGCCCTTCCCAGGGACATGTACGATGACACCACCAAAGCTGTGACCACCTATGGAGCCATCTTGCAGGACCAGGTGTACCACCTATTCTACACCCATTAACATCTGCTTGCACAGCACGTATCACGGCCACCCTCCTCTCTCTCAGACACCCAACACAACCATTCCTACACAGCAACCAGAGGACATTACGCATTGGACAAGATCATGTGTCTAAGGTTGATGCCCCTCAGTACCCAAGAGTCTCATATTAAACATGCTGACCTTTCGTAACCTCCAGCCATGACTGAGTGACACAATAACACTGACCCTATATCAGTGTGAGAGTAATAATACTTGCCATGAGCATACCAAATACTCCACCTCAGTAAAGGGTACTCATGTACAATGCAATGAATGTAAATGCAGCAGAAAATTGTGAGTTGCTTCTGACACCCATTGTTGTGCAAAACATGCTGTTCATCTGACATCTATAAAGAGCATTGCTTTGGTTAATTTCTAACAAAGTGCATTTATAGAAATAAATCAGTGTATTTGTATAAAGTACTATCTTATGCACCATGAAGATTGTTATTTACTGAAAATTTATGAAGATACTTCAATAATTATAATTTATAATTTTAATTTATAATTTAGAATTATAATTTTAAAAACACTTCAATAATAATTTATGCAATAAATTATTCGTTTATAATCATTTTTTGTTGAAAACCAACAGCTCCTTTGAAAAATCATTTAAAATAATTTGTGTATGCACCATTACATAATCCCTGAGATGGACTGTGGTCCATCCAGCTGCCTGTGGCCTCTCACGTGCGCTCCCTGGGACAGAGTCTCCCTACGACCCTGCACTGAGAAGGCGTGTCCAGGTTGGACAGATGGATGCATTTACCATATGAAATTTTCCAGTATTTCTCCATATGCAGTGTGTATAGTGAGCCTCCACATCGTTTAAAACAAAATGCATTATGTGCAAAATATGTAATGTGTAAAACAAATGCTCAGACTTAAAAAATAATTTGAAAATACAAGTTGAATACAGACTCAATAATTAACTTAGTCTTGAATTACTGCCCTAAATCTTTCTGGGAAGTTTCCACCAGTGTAGGACATCCATATATAAGAACGCTTCCTCCTCCTCGCGAGCTTCAGGGATACTGTCATCTCCGCAGACTGACAGTCACACATTGGTCGCAGCTGCTGTTCTTCAGCCACAGTACTGTGCTTCGGCTCACTTCAGACTTTCCTCCCAGATAAAGCTTCCTGGCAGAAGGCAGCGGTCGTTCTCTGAACCTGCCTGCAATGGGCACTGTCCTGCTTCACTCCTCCCTTCACGACTGCTCTGGGGCCAAATGGGGAGAAACCTTCCATTTGGTTCTAGAAACCTCAGGGTGTTGTCTTGTTTACCTGCAAACTTCAATGTAGGTTTCCTGGTTTAGAAATTCTCCAAGGTATAGTCTTGGTTGTTATTTACAGTTCTTTAAAATGGTAATCATGATGTCCCAGGGTTTTTTTTTAAGCTGGAACTCAAAATGTTTACATTGTGTACCATATTAGAAAATATTAGTCTCTCCATGTACCAAAGTTATCGACCCGGAGTATAGGGTGATGACAATTGTTGACCATGGAGGTGTTCCCTTGCCCATGTGTCACCATTACAACTGATGCTTAAGTACATTCGTTTGCGTACCAGTAGAGGGGACCCTGTGCTCCACCAAGGGTACATGGACCATAGTTTGAGAACCTGTGAAAATCCACAAATTTGTTCTGAAGGTCTTAAAGGTTGGTTGAGTCTTAAAGCCAATTCATGCTTCACTTTTACACATGCGCTTTCGGTTGAGGACAAGGGGACATGATGTACATTTCATCATCAGGGATTTGCTATGGACAGCTGTGGTTGGAGTACGTGTAGCCCAGATTTTTATGCCTAGCTGAAACCTTGCACAACCCTGCACATTGACCACACGTGCAAAATAATGGATTAGGTATTTCCAGTAGGTGGCAGTGTGAACTTTAACAGATCAGCAGTCAGCGATGAAAGAGTTGAGGAAAAATAGTTGTTGTTATTGTAGTAGTTATGGTGAGCAACTGTAATTGTTCATACTTTCCTAACACTATACTAGGTACTAGTATACTATACTAGTCCACTAGGTATACGGTACTATTGCAGCATTTTGAAATACCAGAGATAAAATTCTCTGAGCAGGGTGAGTCCTGGCTAATTCTGTCAAAGATTTCAAAATACTGCAGTGTTCCATATTACCATAATAATACTCAAGCCTTGCCTGATAACTTTGCAGAATCAGAATTATAATCAGAAATAACTTTATTGATCCCAGAGGGAAACTGCTTCTGCTACAACTGCAGACAGAGACACCAGTGGACCTGATGATCACTATATAACAAAATGAAAAAAAGTAATTTATCACAAACAAATGTTTAAAACTGTTGATTAAAGTTTACCCGCTTCACTACACTGTTTGTATCTGTGTTTGTTACAAATCATCTCCCCTCTGCTGGTCTGGTGGAATATCACTGCTGTTTGCATGCACCACCTGTGACCATCCACAGCCCGAAAGGCGCACGTGCAAAAGTGAGGAACAAACTGGCCATTAGCCTTAGCTGGAGGATCTATACTACAGTCTCATGCCAAACACCTGAAGGCATTAAAGATAAAAGGATGCTAAACCAAATGGAGATTCTAAGGCATAGTTGTTTAACTGTGAATGAACCGCTATTGTATGTATCTCAGAACTCTAAAGGTCATCTTCAAATTTTTATTTATTATAAACTACTCAATAATTAAAACTCAAGTTCAGTTACAGCATGATACTGCCACACGTGGGTTGAACTTTACCCATATAATCACATCTACAATGTCCCACATTGAACTTGCCAATGCAGGCACTCTACTGTGAACCTTGGGGATGGAATTACTATGAAATTCAGCATCATAATTTTTTGGACGTTGCTTTCTGCTTTATTTTGGTTGCCAATATGTGCATCTTTCATGGAGATTCCCCAACCAAAATCTCATAAACCCTCTGGTGAAAAAGCTGGAAGCAGAGTGCTGCTGGGAATGGTGGTCTTTCCCAGACATCCCTGGGATGTAGAAGGAGGGGAGGCTACAAACCGTCCAGCTCACGCTTATCACATAAGCAGACAGACCTGAGGCTCACCGTTTTGGCTGCCACTTTGATCAGTCTGGTGAGTCTGACAGTGACATGGTCCCACAGGTGATGTGCCTGTCCTGCAAATGCACTGGCGTTATACCTGTGACTCACCCCCTGAGGAGGGCACCGGGACTCTGGGCAGGGGTATCGTGCTCATCAAGTTGGCCCAGCCAGTCCAGCACAATCAGAATGTGAAGCTCAGGCAGATGAGAAATGCGGGAACACCATCAGCAGTGCAGCTGGGCAGAGAGGGAAGGGCGCTCATTGAACATACATCTAACTGGCACTAGAACATGGTATATTTTATTTAGAACGATGACTTTCCATTCACCAGTACAGTATCCACAAGTTCTGCAGTGCCTGAACCAGCCCATCATCGATCACGCCATCTGCCACCATGCCTATCCCCATCTGTTCACTGACATGATAGCACGCTCCGGATTTATGGAAGGCAGAGCCAGCAGCTGCTAGGTCTGCCCACAGATTTATATAAACATTAGACCCAGTCTGCTCTTCCATCGTACGTGCCTCTGATAAACAATGTAGTACCCCAAAGCCTAACCTTAAGCCTAACTATGGCGTCAAATTAGAGTCAAAACTCGCACGCGTAAATATGCCACTCGCGAGCGCAAAGTCAAAACTCACACGCGTAAATATGCCACTCGCGAGCGCTAAAGTGAAACTCGCGACCACAGGACGAAGAGCTGCATGTGCGTTCATCATAATATCCTACGGTTGCTCTCTGCGCTCGAGGGAAATTTCTGCGCTCGCGTTCTGCCGGGGGGAGGTTTTGACAGTTTGGGGGCGGAGTCATGCCGTTTCTGACAGCGAACGCTATTGGCAGATGAAGTCTATCTATGTTATAAATATAATTTCACCGATTCTCATTGCCCCCTTGCCTGTTTCCCCGTCAATATAAAACAGATAAAGGTACAGAACGCAGCGACACACGTTATTGGGATGCTGAGGCAGGCATTAGCTTCGGCATCTCCATACGGTAAAGTAACGTTATCATGTGTTACGAGTTTCCATAGACCATACATAATTACTGCACCTCGTCATGCAACCACTTACCATGAGTATTACTAACGTAGTTGTAGCATGTTGTATTTTGATGCTTTCAGTTGCTATTTGAACCTGTGTCTATAATTATTCACCTGTGTGTGTGCACACCTGGTGGCTGTGTTTAACTAATTGGTTCATGGGTGTGTTCATTTGAAAGCCTTTGCTTTGATATTGCAAGGAAGTAACATTTATGATCGATTTCAGTGTCAAAGGTATATAAGTGTGTTTAGTGTTTTGCAAATCACTGTGTGTAATGTTTTGCAAAAAGTGTGAAGCTGTTAATGTGCTTATAGTTGTGCAGATCTGGGCTGGTGTTTTGCTCCTTGACAGTTTGGTTTTGGTAATTGTGGAAAAGTTTTAATTTTAGTGTGTAAGCAATCGCAAAAAACTGTAATTCATAGATTAGCATGCACTCCGTAAACGATGCTGTAATGCTGAGTAAAAGAGCAAAGCCTAAAGCCTCACAGATTGTCTGTGTGAAACACAGCAAAAGGAGATATGCAAGAAATGGTAAAATTGCTGTGCTTATTTTATTGATTTTATTTAAATATAAAGCCAACTTTTATTATAACAGCCAAAAGTGTTAAGAGGGAATTAATTAAAACACTAATGCAATGGGGAATAAAATCTCTTCAATTCCTTCATCGATTGCACATTTCAGATCACAGGAATGACCTTGGAGAGAACTGCTGCCTCACATTTCCAGAACCGTGGGCTCAATTCCTGTGAGTGTGTGTGTGCATCTGTAAATGTGTGTGTGTACGTGTATCTGTGTTTATATTTGCTTGTGCGTTTGTGTGCATATATGTGTGTCAGTGTATGTCTGTGCGTGTATGCGCGCGTATAAGTGTGTGCATGCGTATATCTCTGTGTATGTGTTTGTGTGCGTGTATCTGATAATATGTGTTTGTGTGCGTGTGTGTCTATGTTTGTGTATGTGCGTGCGTGTGTGTCTATGTATTTGTGTGTGTGTCTGTATGTGTGTGCATGTGTGTGTGTGCGTGTATGACATTTGCATGTTCTCCCTGCATTCAGGCTAATGAGTATTCCTGGGGTGGTAGCATGTGCCACATCATGGACTGGCATCCCGACTGGCAGCCCACCTGGCGCCCTGGCCTGAGTCTCACTGCGACAACGCAGGCAATAAACACCTATGAACAAATACAGAGCTGCATAAGTAAGCAGTTGTTAGTCATATCTATTGACCAGCAAGGCTTACCGCAAGTACAACAAGACAAACTAAAGCAGAGTAATATCATAATCCTCACCAATAAAACAAAAAAATACATATACTACACATTTATCCTTGACTTCACACACACAATGGTTAGAGGCCATAACTCAGAAATACCCACTTTCATAAAAAGAGCTTGAACAGAACCATCCATGCATGGTGAAATAGTATTCAGGATGGCAACATCACAATAGCATAATGGAGATAAAGCACATTTAAATCCACACATCTATCTTCCATAATCACTTATCTAATACAGATTTGTCCTAAGTATTGAGCCTATCCTCAGGAAGCACAAGACATGGAACAGAAGACACCATGCATTACATACCAGTAGTACACATATAAGCAAAAATAGCAATTCAACCCCATATGTTCTTGTTGCTTGTTTATATTTGATTAGTCAAATTTATTTCCATTGGTAAGATGTATTATGCATTTTTCCCCCTGTCATGTTGCCTTGCAATAATGAAGAGAGATAAATGATTAAATTAGACTTATTCCCACTAGGGGGAGCTTCAGCTTCATAAGAGCTTGTTTGGTGAAAGATGAAGAAGTAAACAATCAGGGAAAGATGCTGAGCTGTGAAAGCTGGCATCTCATTTTGTGCCTTTTATTTGCCATACTGCTGTTATTTGTTAGTGTCATGTGTACAGTAGATATCCCCGTATTGGTATAGGCAAACATAAAAAAAAAAAAAGCCGGACTATGCCTACACCACTCCATTAATCTTCCATAACCACTTACCCAGTATAGGGTCACCGTGTGCCTGGAGCTCATCTCAGCAAGCAAAGAGCATAAGGCAGGGGACACCCTGGACGGGATGTGGGTCCATCACAGGGCAGGAGACACCCTGGACGGGATGTGGGTCCATCACAGGACAGGGGACACCCTGGACGGGATGTGGGTCCATCACAGGGCAGGAGACACCCTGGACGGGATGTGGGTCCATCACAGGGCAGGAGACACCCTGGACGCGATGTAGGTCCATCACAGGGCAGGAGACACCCTGGACGGGATGTGGGTCCATCACAGGGCAGGAGACACCTTGGATGGGATGTGGGTCCATCACAGGGCAGGAGACACCCTGGACGGGATGTGGGTCCATCACAGGGCAGGGGACACCCTGGACGGGATGTGGGTCCATCACAGGGCAAAGGGCAGGGGACCAGCAGCATTTGCACTGGGTAATGCAAGCAATCAGATGAGAGAATAAATCTTAGATTAGACCATCTTTCATCGTGAAATTTAAATGAAAACTATTAATGCCATTAGTTACATTTCTGCTTATGCTGCCATTGATTTAGAAGCTGATCTAAGTCTAATGAAAAAAAGCAATCTGTTGTATACAACAAAAATGAGTTTCATTATCAGAAATGAATATTAATGTGACTACCACTAATATGTTCGGTCTACCACGCCGCCCATTTGCAGTTTATTTTAATGCTATAGCTGATTATGTTTCAGTCGGTTTTTCTATTCTACTCACTGCATTTTACCCATAATGCTTGCTGGGTCAAGGTTGCTTGCCTGCTGACCGGTTCCCTGATCACACATGCAGGATGAAGCCATCATCGCTGGCGTGATGCATCATGCATTGGAGGTGTCACGGTGCTGTACTGCATTGCATAAATATCGCCCCAGTCTTTAGATGAATGTAGCCTTTTTGTGTGTATAATATATACAACCAATGCAAAGAAGCAGTATTATCTCACAATACCCATATATAATCAAACTTTCATCGTGGTTATTTAAACAGTCACGGTTACATAGACGAAGACGATGTACAACGTCGGAATACCATCCCCACTTAAGCGGTAATCAGCAGTGTACCGGATGTCATCCTGCCTGTCTTCTCATTGCTGTTTAGTCAGTCTGTATAATTTACCGCAGCTCAGGGGTTTATCACACCAATTTATAATA